AAAACCGACCTTCTTAAAATCCAACCCTGATATAACTCAATACTGATAGAAACCGACTCTAAAACCAGCCAACCTATCTACAATCCAACCTAGATACAATCCAACCTTGATTCAAACTAACACTGATTCAAACCGACCGTCCCTGATTCGACCCAATCCTGATGCAACCCAACCATAATTCAAACACATCCTGATACAACCCAATCCTGATACAAACCAACCTTGATAAAAATCAACCCTGATCCAACTCAACCCAGATACAAACCAACCCTGATGAGAATCAACCCTGCTAAAATAAAACCTGATTACAAACCCATTCAGATGCAAACCAACCCTAAGATACAACCTATTTTAATCCAACATTGATATATATATCACCTCTGATAAAACCAATCCAAAGGTTAACCAACACTGATATAAACCAAAAACAAAACATTATGAGAATCAACCAGTCTTCAATCCAATCCTGATACAAATCAACCCTGATGGAAACCAAACCGGTAAAACCCAACTCGGATAGAAACCAACCCCACTACAACTCAATTCAATACAACCCTGATCCTAATCCAGAAAATCAAATCCTTGTTCTACATTATCACACTTTTATTATTTCTGAATTATAACTTAATTTTTTCAAATTAAAAAACGATGAGAACAATGAACTGATAGATTGATTCATTGATTGATTATCCAATCTATTAGGTAAGACCTTCACACACTGACAGCACATATAGGGTGGATAGTACAGTCGTACTTTGATGCTGTACTGTGTACAATACACTTTGTACGATGTACACTGTAATCCGTACTACTTTGCTCTCTTTTGGATTGAAGTTTTTAAGTTTGGTTCACGTCAACTCTTAACAACTCTTCTTTTTCGACTCTTGAGTTATTCAAATATATTCTTGAAAAATTGTAATAATTGATGAGGCTCGGCGCCCTAAAACAGTGGAAAAGTTGCTTCTGAATTCCTAGGATCCAAGCTAACTGTATACTAAGAACTAACTATATTATGTGGGTTCACTGCTCCAGTATCCTGCAAGGACAAGTCCTGCCCTCGGCACAGAATCTACAAACGTCAAATAATTAAAATGATCAGAGGGTGGATAAACAGGGATTAATAGACATACAGGGACAGGAGATCATCCAGTCCAAGTAATTCATGGAGTACTTGAAAACTTTCATTACTAGTGATTGGATTACTGGTTGACATTTCTTTACAATTCCTTTAACTTCTGAAAGAGCTTTAAAACTGAACTTCAAGGTTTTGTAAAGCTGAAAAACATGGAAAAACTAGAAAACCAAGATAATCTGGAGAACTTGGAAAAATTTGAGAACTAGGACAGCCTGGATGAGAATCATGAGAACCATTAGAACCAAGAGAACTAAGAGAACTTAGAGAACCAAGAGAACTTAGAGAACCAATAGAACCAAGAGAACTAAGAGAACCAAGAACCCAAAAGAACCAAAAAAGATCCAATAAACCAAGAAACAAAGAGACAAATAAACCGATAAACCAAGAGAAATAAGAGAACCGAGAGAACCAAGAGATCCAAGAGAACCAAGAGAACCAAGAGAACCAAGTGAACCAAGTGAACCAAGTGAACCAAGTGAACCAATAGAACCAATAGAACCAAGAACATCAAGAGAACCAAGAGCACAAATAGCACAAAAAGCACAAAGTGAACCAGGAGTAATAAAGAAGCGAGAGAACCAAGAGAACCAAGAGAACCAATAGAACCAAGAGAACCAAGAGAACCAAGTGAACCAAGTGAACCAAGTGAACCAAGTGAACCAAGTGAACCAATAGAACCAATAGAACCAAGAACATCAAGAGAACCAAGAGCACAAATAGCACAAAAAGCACAAAGTGAACCAGGAGTAATAAAGAAGCAATGGAACCAGAAGAACCTGGAGAACCAAAAGAACCAGAAGAACCTGGGGAACCAAGAATCAAGGGAAAGACATATCTATGAGAACATATAAATTTCAACGAGGCCAACAATGACAGTCAGAAACAGACAGAAAACATAAATGACAAAATCTAGCAAACCTTATCTTAACGAAATAAACTGAAATGTCATCTGCATGTTTATGGAGGCCACGGAGCCAGGAAGAGGATAGGAGAGGGGATGTGTGTATAATATTCAATTAATGGTTTACAAGCAATGTGCATAAACTTTTTTGCAAACTCATCTATCTTCTAGATATAAGAACATGCAGAAAAGATCTCTTAGTTCAGATAGCGCTCATATTTTTAAAGCTCATTAGCCTTTGTACTTTCCTTGTTGGACAAAAGAGATTAAATGCATAATGCACGCCGTTTGCAACAAATATTTAAACTCAATATAATGCTAATAATTTATTCTATAACCTAGGTTTTAAGATGCTGTGATGTTATTCACAAATAATAACTAAACCGTATCCTTTCTGTCAGACCTAAGATTGCTAAACGTTCAAGAATTTAATGCAGTAGTTATATTAAATACAAGGATACTAAATATGGAGACTACCTCGGAATTAATTATGAAACACATTTTTATGTTTCCAGTATATTTGATATTTTGTTGGGTGTGTTCTATGTCGATTCATTAATTCATCTGGTGAGGAAGTTGTCAAATCCTGTCTCAAATTCCTTCATCAGCATTCAGCATACAGATATATGATCCTATCTAAATACGTAAACAAACATGGATGGATTATTGGAGGTGTAGGATTATTGGTGGTGTAGGATTATTGGGGGTGTAGGATTATTGGAGGTGTAGGATTATTGGAGGTGTAGGATTATTGGAGGTGTAGGATTATTGGAGGTGTAGGATTATTGGAGGTGTAGGATTTTAGGATAATTGGAGGTGTAGGATTATTGGAGGTGTAGGATTATTGGAGGTGAAGGATTATTGGAAGTGTAGGATTATTGCAGGTGTAGGATAATTGGAGGTGTGAGATTATTGGAGGTTTAGGAGGTTTAGGATTTTAGGGGATCCGGAACATTCAAGATTAAAGAACATTATATTTTTTTTTAAGTCCTTGAATTATATGAGGCGACTGGTTCATGATTTTAATTGATTTTGAATATTGAAATAGGTTCCAGGTAGGGAATGATATTTTTGAAAATTTTAGAATTCTAAGATGTATTAAATCTTGAGTTGATGTTGTTAGGGATTGAAAATCTTTGATTTTTCTCTTCAAATTCATCTCACGCGGATTGATTGAATATTCTGTAGATGCATCAAGATGCAGACTTTGAAATTAAATGGAAAACGTCGTTTCATTCACATTTGTCAATAAAAAAATTTATATTTTTTAATGATTTCAAGGATTGGAATATTTAAGCTACAAATACATTCCAGAAGAAATTCTGCGCCAATACATTTTTCGAAATGAATTATTTATACAAAAACTTCTTTTCCTACTGTCTCCTTGCGTGATCACTAACAATGTGCATACGAATTACGTGCCTATATATGCAAAGTATTTGAGATTAGGTTTTAATCTTGCTATTATCTCCTAGACAGTGTTTAATTAGCCATTATATACCTCAATTCCAGTAGTGCTCTCTTTGCATACATTTGATTCACATTTTAAAACGTACACTGTACGGTGTGCATGTGTACAGTGTGCAGGATTTAAAATGGCGCCTTCTCTAGTAAAATATGGCGCTAAAAAATTTGGCAAACATTTCTCAATGCTTGACATACACAATTAAATTGGCTTTGTGTCACAAAATCTCCCCCAGGGTTTCCTCCCTCCTCTCCCTTGTTAATATTTTACATAAATATTCTTTAATATGTAGATACGGTTCCGGTCTGAACATAAGATTGAATAGGATGTATTTGAAGGTTTGTTCTAAAACTGTGAAGCAATAATGATAAAACAATGCAGGATATATGTAGACTTCTTTGTCATTGTTGTTTTAATATTTTGTAAATAGTATTGTGATGGTTTGAGGGAGGAGAAGGAGGGGGGGGGGGTAAATTTAAGATAATAGTTAAAAGATAAGGTTTACTGTTGGATAGTAATATACTTAATATCTGGGTTCGACTGAAAGTAGGTGAGCTAGTTGATCAGGTTTGCTTTTTATATGGTGATATTTGTATGCATCCCCCCCCCCCTTGCTAGGCCCGATTTAAATAATATTCAGTCAGTATATCAGATGGAATATAAATTGGAGTAAGACGTGTTAACCTATTATCTCCTCCGATCCGTATTCAATCCCTTCTTTCACAGTTCACACCCTTTCTTAATATTCTTTTTCTTCGTCTGCCATTTTATCTTGATTTTTTTGGTTTTACATTCCCCCTCTACCCCCGTGTCTCCTTTTTTTAGACGCTCCTCCCGTGTCTTTCCTATCCTTGGTTAAGAAAACCCCAAATTTGTTTAGCTTTGAACAAAAAATTTACAACACCGGGCGTAAGAAATATTTCCGACTTCACACTTTTTGGCATCCTAACAATATTCCTGTCAATATAACGACACAATCTGAACCCTAGGACGCCTAACAATATTCCTGTCAATATAACGACACAATCTCAACCCTAGGACGCCTAACAATATTCCTGTCAATATAACGACACAATCTGAACCCTAGGACGACCACCTTGTTAACCTTCTAAATATAAGAAAATGTCAAAAAATGCATTTTTGCATCTTAATATATTCTAAATTTAAACAATGTAAGTATAGGTCTACTTCCGATGGTGGTTTGGGTTCTCCAACTTTCAGATATTTTTCCTGATATTCCTGACTTCCTGAATTTGACAAGGACTAATTTTATTCAAAAATTCTAAACTCCTTGTTCTACATGTTCTAATCATACCATATACGGATATGGAGCTAGAACTAGAACCATAACAGATATTCGGAGCAAAAACTTAAACATTTCCATCATACATTGTGCTTGCATAACTGGCATTCTTTCGAGGGGTTTTAGGTTAACCTTAGTCTCTAAAAGTCAAATTTTTGGATTTAAATTTAAACATAAATAAACTTTAATTTTTCAGGTGGTGTCTGCTGAAATTCTGATGGCAAGTGAATCTGGGTGTCCGATAGAAATGCACAAGATTCCAATTGAAAAATGTGACGAAATGTACGATGAGGAATGTACAGGCGACAAATTTATGCCCTTCCATCGTGCCGGGTACGACAAAAAGACGGGTCAGAGTCCTAACACGCCTCGAGAACAGCAGAACAGTATGACAAGCTGGATTGATGCTAGTTTCGTCTACTCAACAAAGGTAATAAAATGGTGACTCCCCACGTGATTTAAAATAGCGTCTCCCCAACGCGACTTAAGATGGCGTCTCTCTGCACGTTGGCCTCAAAATGGTCTCTCCCCTTTGGTCTAAGTTTAATGGTGTATCCCCTCCTAACATTTTCCAAACATTTTCCAAACTATTGACGAAAAGATTTTTCACACAATGCTTTTTTTAAACTAGTTCTTCAAGAGTTTTTTTTCTGGAATTTGTCTTGATACTCTGTACAGTGTAGATGGACGCAACTAGATTTCCCAACCCGTGAGATTAAAAATAGGAATTTATAGGTAAATGACTAGGGTAATAGGGGAAAATTATGTGATTTTCAGATCAATAAAAAAATCTTCGCCCCCCCCCCCTAATACAACATCCCAATTGCGCCTCTGGTCTTGTAGGCACTATCTAAATTCTTATTTAAAACAAAATTGAACTATTAAGCTAGTTGCTAATTTTAAGGCCGCCCGTTTTCATAAGTAATAATCGTTCTATTGTCTAGTATTCTGTATTCAAAATTTGCAAGTGTATGGGAAATAACTGTGCTGAATGTTTGTGCAAAAAGCTTGAGCTGATTTTGCAAGTATTGTTTAGTTGTACAGGGAAAATGCTTAATTGAATCAATTAATAAACCAGTATATTCATTTAGGTTGAATAAAAGCGGCCATTAAAACAATTTATGTGTTAAAATGTGATTTATGGTGCTAAAATTATATTCATGTTCTGTTAATTGACTGTTGAATAAAATTTGGCGGATTTTAAGGATTTTACGATCCAACTCTTGTCATAAATATATCCAACTATACTTTCATACAAATCATGTGTTATACGTGTAGGAAAATAATTTTTATTTCTTAATTGATTTTTTTAATTGTTGTAAGTGAACTATAATGAATATGTTCAAAAATGTTTCAATTTAGAAAAGAAATTTGTGAAGTTTTAATGGATTTTTAAATTCTACTTTAAATTCATCACGATATATTACAAAAGGCATTAATACATAATACTCGTTGCCATATGTTTCCCAACAGTTAAAGTGCTTAAATATAAAACCTTAAGTTCTAAATTACACTTTTTTGTGAATTCTCATATTTCATTATGACGGACAACAGACGGATAATGTTCAAGTCACAAAATGTTTACGCAGAATTTTGTGTGTTGCAAATTCTGATTACTAATCATAAAAGTCCTATCTTTTGCAGTAACTGAATTCATTATACTCAAATCCGATATATTAGCAAACACATAAATTGTTTATGTTCTGTATAGTCTATTTATACCTTGTTTAAATATCCCGAATCTTACATTAGACCTACCTAGATATTCTTAACCCTACCATATCCCGAACCCTAAACCTCATATCCGAACTCTAAATATAGATATACGAAACCCTAAACCTATATATCCCAAACCTTAAACCTAGATAAATCAAACCTTAAACCTAGATATCCTGAACCTTAAACCTAGATATCTTGAACCCTAAACCTAAATACCCTGAATCTTTAACCTTTTATTCCAAACCTTAAACCTAGAAAAACCAAACATTAAACTTAGTTATCTTGAACCCGTACCTAGATATCCTCAACAATTAACCTTATTTTCCAAACCTTAAACAAAAACAAACAAAACCTAGATATTCCAAAGCTTAAATCTAGACATCCTAAACCTTAAACTTGGATATCGTGAACCTTAAACTTGGATATCCCAAACCTTAAACTTAGATATATCTTGAACCCGTACCTAGATATCCTCAACAATTAACCTTATTTTCCAAACCTTAAACAAAAACAAACAAAACCTAGATATTCCAAAGCTTAAATCTAGACATCCTAAACCTTAAACTTAGATATCCTGAACCTTAAATTTAGATATCCTAAACCTTAAACTTAGATATCCTGAACCTTAAACTTAGATATCCTAAACCTGAAACCTAGATATCCTAAACCTTAAACCAAGATATTCCGAGCCCTACACCCAGATATCCCAAACCGTCCACACAGATATCCCGGAGCTTTATTTTGAATCCAGGACGTCGTTAATCAATATCCTAGACGTATATAACCTGAATTCTAGATCAAGATATTCTGTACCTAAACTCATAACTAGATAAAGATCCGTCCCTGAGAAGCGTTCCTCTACGCTGCTTGTCCAAAGTCTCAATTAAGGTTGAATATATGAATTTATACACACACATACATATTTAGGTATGTTTAAACCGCTGGACAAGCATAGAACCTTGATTAACTCCTCAATCATATATTTTTGGACTTGATCGATCAGTCTCAGTCTTGCTGAGTAGAGTTCCACCCAATGCTGATCTCAGTTCTGCACTTTACCGTCCTTAAAGGTTTCCGTATCCATATTTCTCCTTCATTCTTTGATTTCAACATTGAGTCTTTTTTAGGAGTCTTGGGTGAGTGCGATGAGATCGTTTGAGAACGGGACCCTGAAAATGGACGGAGATACTGTTTACGGAATGCCTCCACACAACCTGATGAGGGTTCCGATGGTTAATGCTCCGGCTCCTCATCTCCTTGCTCAGCTTAAACCAGAGAGAATGTTTCTACTCGGAGATCCCAGAACCAACCAGAATCCAGCCTTTCTCGTCCTAGGCATAATTTTCTACAGATGGCACAATTTCCAGGTTGGGGATAATTCATTCATTCATTTACCCATCTTTTAGTTCATTATTCATTAGATTGCGTTAGTTAATTAATTCATTCATTGATAAATTTATATTACTAAATTTTATTTTTATTCATTCATTCATTCAACCGGATGTTAAATGTCCCAAGATTACTATATCTTGTGCTGGGAAAAATATCCCAGCTCTAGATTGCACCTAGATACAGTATATAGACTACTTTTCAAACTGTGTATGTTATCCTGGTCCAGGAGCTGGGGAACAGGTTTTTAATGAATTACGATCGTATCTGAAAGAGGGTTGGGTCTTTTACGGTAGTCTTGCTCTACTTCAAGTATCCAATTGTAGTTTTTACTCTGTTACAAGGAGGGGAAGGGGTAGAAGGGGACGAGCGGGATGTTAAAGAGATTGAAATAGGGAATTGAAAATTTTTAATAAAGTAAGTTAGGGGGGGTTGGGGGTTAATTAAAGGATTAACACCTTTCCTCTGGTAACTTAGTATAAGATTGATCAGGGTTTTTTAATATCATTAATCCATAATGCAATGCTTAGATGGCTACCGGGAGTAGTCAACTGTATCGTTTAAAACATTAATACTGTTCACAAACAAACACTACACGAACAAAAATACTTTTTATTACATTTTTGGAATAAACGTTTCAGGGTTTTCTTATCAATGAAATCGGAGTTTTTTCTTAAGATCTGATCTTTTTCCTATGTGTATAAGTCTGACACAGATATACTAAGAATTGAAGCACGATTTGCACATGGAGGTAACACGCATCTCAGTGTATATATACTATATATATATATACAGTGTTAACCACACAGGATAAGACTTTTAAGGCACTGTCGACAGTATTTCAAGTTACTCTCCATTAAAAGAGTTAAACGCCCGATTCATTAGGGTGTCCTTAAAACCTTATTCATAACTACCAAATAGATTATCAAGTACAATAGGTGGCAGCAGAGAATTATACACGACATCATAAGTGTAAAAAAAGTGTAAAAAGAGAAAATAAAGAACAGATACAATTACACTTATTTTACTGTAAGATAAGCACTTTTTTCTAAAATTATCACTATTTTTAATCATTTTGTCAGACACAAAAACTACATTGACACTTGTGACGTCAGAATACAGCTGTACTGAGAGTGTACAAACTTTACGTTGCCATCTATTGTACTAGATTCTATTTGATAAGTACCAATGAGAAAGATATCGTTGTTTCTTTATCTCTGAGTTCCATTCTTTGTGAGAAGCCCTGTACCTAAAAAATACAAGACAAACCAAGGGCTATCTTTTTTCAATATTTTTTGTTACATTAGACGCGGTTTACTCAAAACTCTCAAAAAGTAAATTTTTTTTGCGAAAGCATTTGGTACGATCGTACATCAGTGTTGTTGTTTTTTAGATTGCCCCCTTTTTCCTGCTGGAGTATGCTGCAAATCGTTCGTTAAAAATATGGATTGAAGTATATTTAATATGAAGATATTATCAAAAACCACTCTATTACGTTAAGTTAACACTGAAAATAGACGATTAAATCTAGATATTTAAGTAGATAGATTATCTTTCATCAGCAAGTTAAATACTTTGTTACTTTGATCTTTTACTAGATTTTTCTTTTTAATTTGTTTTGCTATCGTTCCTTTTCTTTCTTTTTGTACTCTTTTTAAATTTTCAAATTTGATTGGTATTAAACGGGAGAGGATATGGAGAATATAGGGAGGGTAGTTGTTTCTAGGGTGAAAAGAAAACATTAAGATTAATTAAATTATCCATGAAACCTTCCCTCCATACTTACTTCATGCTTTGTTACTTCTGCACTCACAATATTTTGACATTTTAAACAATATGTAAAAGCGAATAATTAAAAAAAAAAAAATTGCTTTTTATGGTGTTTAGTTCCAGCCCAGCATGTGTTCTAATCTAATCTGAAAAGGAGGAAAATACGATTATATTTCAGATCAACTCAAACTATACAAATGCACAAACAAGCATAAAATACTATCTTTTTTATGCCTCAGTATTAAGGTCAACTGCCTTAATATGCAGGCAAAAAATCTTACCGACCCCCCCCCCATACTCTACAAATACCAATTAAATACACCATGTTTGGATAATATATTTAAGATGCATCTTACTCCTCTTTATCCTCAGGCATACCCTGAGTCGACTCATCCTAACAAACCTAAACCTTAGTATTTACTTCTTAATTAAATATTTTTATTATATTCACTCGAGCCCCCCCCCCCCTCTCCTCCTGCTCATTAACATCAATCATTTTTTCTTCCTGATATATACATTAAGTTCTCCTAATTTGATATTTTTTTAAGCTAAGTAAAAATTAATGACGTTAAACATTTTTTCTAGGAATCACTCTTTTAACAAGTGCATGTTCTCAACTTCTCAGTGGCGAATATTGACACTTTTTTTGCGCCGAAATCTAATTTTTTTATTAAAAGTATTTAAAGCATGCCCAAAGATATTGATCTGAAATAAAAATTAATTAATCAGTGAGGAAAGGTAAACTTGGTAATTCGTTTTTAATTTAAAATTTTTACATTTTCAAATTTACTAGATGCATATGTCATATGTCATACTAATATTATGTGCAATTTGTATCGAAAAAAAGTTTTAGTGCAATTTTTCATTAGTTTAAGCTGCGCTCAATTTTAACCCTTTATTATCCAATTTCGTTTTTTCTTAAATTTTTAACAATTTAAAACATATACAGGGTTACCCACAAAGGATGAGACTGTAAAAACGACCCAAAACTTTAACAATTTGACGATTTGAGGCTTGATTTTTGGTTTTTGCCTTAATTTGAGTATTTTAATAGTTTACTAAATCATTAATTACAGAATTTTTGCCTATAAGGAACCCTGAATGCATGAAAACTGATTCAGTGAAACTGTCTCTGAAGTCTCATCCTTTGTGGGTAACCCTGTATACTCCACTTTAAGTCTGCATTTTAACGTCTATTTAAATGTATAAAATAGGTTTAATATGCCCACTAATTAGTTCTAAATCTAACCAGGCTAATGCTAAAATGTGAATAGTTTTTCTTTCACAAAAAAGTTCTTTGTTTGTTTTATTCCTCAGTTGTTTCTAGGGTGAAAAGAAAACATTAAGATTAATTAAATTATCCATGAAACCTTCCCTCAATGCTTACTTCATGCTTTGTTACTTCTGCACTCACAATATTTTGACATTTTAAACAATATGTAAAAGCGAATAATTAAAAAAAAAAAATTGCTATGAATAACTTACATTTTTTTTATCATATTAATGATTGAATACATTTGAATGAATTAAACTTCATTGAAAGCAGCGATTTTGTACATGAAAAAGTATTAAAGGGACTGTACTTTAATTTCAAGTTTGTCTCCATTTAAAGAGTGTAATGCCCGATTCACAACTGCACCCATTAAAGTGTTGTCCCTTGTTAGTTCCTTAAAACTATCTCCTGAAAGGATTTGTGTATTTCTCATAGATAAATAAATAAACATAGATAGCTTATGTACGCAAAATCACCAAGAATTGTAATGTCCGCGAACTTATACTTCTTGGGGTCAAAGTGTACTTTAATGATAAGCGGGGTGGTTTGGTGCTTTAATGGATTTCATAATTATTAAACCACTCAGGAGTGAATTTTATTTTGAGAATATCAAATTATTTCACTGAGCAATATATGATATTGACGAGAATTGAAGAAGGACATGAGAAGGACTATTCTAACTTAAATTTCTCTCTACAGAACTCATGTGCACCACAAGTACTCAATGACATAAGAACATCCAATGTTCACAACCGACCTAGTTAATCTATATAATAGGAATATCTTTAAAACATCTCTGTACATTTATATCTTTCAAGATGAAAAATGTCGTCTTATGCACAATCTTTATTTATCTATGGTATTTCTGCTATACGTAAACAATGAAGGAAAATATCAGAATTTAACAGAGGCTGGAAAAACGACGATATCATTCTAATCATTGATCAGATAAAGGTTTAAAAAGAACCGTTGTGAATCTGGCATGCCCATCTGCTTTTTAAATGTATTTATGGTCACTTGCAAATATATTAAAAGTCTTTTTAAAGCTAAGAATATTTCTTGCAAATTTGAATAAAGGAATTGAGTCTTTTTCACAAACTCAAATTTCCTAATCCCTGTATCTTTGCAACCCAATGTCGTATGACCTTAGTTATTTTAAACTATGAATTGTGTTGGATCAAACCGTTTTAGTTTGAAATATCAAAGGTTAACACCATCAGGCTTCACAGATGTAGATATTAAGAAAATTTGACTTTGTGGCAAAGACTCAATTCCTTTGCCAGTCTAACAATTCCTTTGCCAGTCTAACTTACTTTGTTAAATGAAAAGCATGTCAAAGTTTGAAATTCAAAGGTTTTCACCATCTGGTTGCAAAGATACATGGAATAAAAAATTCTAGTTTGAGATCATGAGACTATTCTGGTCTATCTTACTTTTCTATTAAAATCATTAGATTAGTTTCTTCTATGCACGAACAAGTTTCTGCTCTACTATTTCAACTCTGTGGGTGCTTAATGAAAACCTTAATTTGCAAATTCATAAAACATCAATTGCGGAGTAAATTTTGTTCTTAAATTTGCCTCATTCACTATTTTGCACAAGTTAGCAATGGAAACTAGAAAACAGTAAAAATACTTCTAAATTAATTATGAATTTCCGCTAAAGATTTGTTATTTGCAACTGAAATATAACCATTGCATTGAATTCTTTAATAATTATTTGTAATTGGTTAAAGGGACTGTAAGCTTAATGATTATTTGAAATTGATTAAAGGGACTGTAAACTTAATAATTATTTGAAAATGATTAAAGGGACTGTAAGCTTAATAATTATTTGAAATTGGTTAAAGGGACTGTAAGCTTTATAATTATTTGAAATTGGTTAAAGGGACTGTAAGCTTAATAATTATGTGAAATTGGTTAAAGGGACGCTTAATAATTATTTGAAATCGTTAATAATTATTTAAAATTGATTAAAGGGACAGTAAGCGTAAATAAAGTGACCCTCCATGCAAAGATTGCCCTTGAAAACTTGATCAGATAAAAATGTGGAAGATATTGTCGGTTTCTGACTTGAAAAGTGTTCATTGTTTCCGAGTTTCTCCATTGATTCTTATAAACAAGAAAGCGCAAAGTATATAAAGTTGTAATCTCTGTTTGTCTGTTTGTTTGTTTGTTTGTCTGATCATAACTTAGGAACCCCTGGACCGATTTGCCCCACATTTTGATTGGGGAACTCGGGAGGCCAAAGGGAATATTTTTTGCTGGGTTTTGAGATTCTAAGTTGTGTGGGTCGACTTTTATAAAGAGACAAATAGTTAAAATCATGATTTAAGACCTAGTGCGGGTAAACGGCGAGAGAAACTATGAGTAACCTGGGCAGCGCTAGTTTAAAATAAAACTAGTTAACACGAAAATGTTTTGATGTCGGTTTCTTTTTAAATTTGGTTTAACAAAATCTTACTTTTTAAGATGTGTGTGTTGCGTAATGTTGAATATTGGTATTATAAATTTTAATAATAGTGATAAACATATTTAAATCAGTTTCTGATGTGGAACAAATATGGAGGATTTATCAAATATTTCGGACAGGACTTAAATGACATTTTTTAAAGCAGATTTTGAAAGTTTTTTTTTTCAAAAATAAAAAATGTATTTTCCTCTTAAATTGATGGTCACATTCTTTCCTGATTTATTTGAACCAAAATGAAATTGTAAAATGTAATAAATATTGATTGGATCCAATTAGATTTAAATCCAACGTCAGGTTGTAAAATTTGGCATTTCTTATGATTTTATCGATGGTTTTTCAGGGATATATATTTACCACGATAAATCAAGAAAGAAAGGTTAAACTTTTTGAAATCTTTTTAAACCTTTTTAATTCTGTTCACAATAAAGTTAACATATTTTTTCAAAAGGTTTACATTGAGTTTTAAAACAATTTCTTTTGTTATATAAAAGCTTATCCCTGTTATTTATAATAGGGTCAATACAAAAAAATTTCTAGTCCAACCCCTAATCCACTTCTGATTTAAAAAGACAATTTTTAGCGATGCTCAATGTAATAATAGCTCAGAATGATATGGAATTTGCTTATTATATTAGATGAAAAGCTCAAAACAACAGGAAAATTGCACGGTTAAATCTATATATATACTTTGCTTGTGTGTCTGTTTGTTTGTATCAAATAAACGTCAAAACGGCTAAACCGATCAGGCCCATTTTTTTGTTGGACCTCGAGTGACCCCAGAGAAGGTTTATGGATGATCGAATTTTCAAAAAATTTGCTTTTTCCAAAATTCGATTTGTGAAAATTTAAAAATCCACGAATTTTTTTATATAAAAAATCCGGGAAATTTTTATTTGTTTTTGTTTTAATGTATACAAAGAGAACATGTTCACAATTGAAATAGAACATGGACGCGAAGCGCCCTAAAAGTCTAGTGTGAAATATTGACTTGTTTGAAATTTAAGAATTTTACGAAAAAAAGTGTTTATTAAGTTTTGTTTTAACCTAGAATTGTTATGTATATTGATTTGTTTACTTTAGGCTGAGCGAGTACGTGAGGTTAATCCTGATTGGTCTGACGAGGACGTATTCCAGGCCGCTAGAAGACGGGTAATTGCCTCCCTCCAGTCCATCATCATGTACGAATATCTTCCCGCATTCCTGGGCAAGGAGGTTCCGGAGTTTGACGGATATAAACCTGACGTTCATCCCGGTATATCTCACGTCTTTCAGAGCGCAGCATTCAGGTTGGTCTTAATACTTGGTTTGCATGTTTGTCGGTGTCCAATAAACGTCAAAACAGCTGATCAGGCCGATTTTTTTGTGGCAACTCACATATCCCCGGAGAAATTTAAAAGTGGCAAATTTTGCCTGGAAAAATGGGAATTTTTTTATGTTAGCAATCATATTATTTTTTGTAAACAGAAAAATTAGCAAAATTCTAAGTTTTAAAATTGCGTAGAAAAAATGTCCGCATGAAAATAAAGATTTAAATGCTCCGATTTTTGCTATAAAGAGGCGTGAAGCGCCCTTTTCTACCTTTGTTTAGTCTTCTTTTGAGTTTTTAGGTCGTTATTAAAATTACATTATTTTTGGTTAACTTTTATCTGAGTTAAGGCATAATTAGTAAAGTTATGCCTAAAAAACTCAAATATTAGGTTTGTGATGAAGTCTGTAAAATGTACATAGGATTAATTTATTCTTGGGTAACTGAAACTTCTTCAATATCTGACTGCTTTTCCCCTTACTAACTTACATAAAGCAAACAAACAAACCTGGACACAAATTAGCCTGCAGACCCTGGGATACCGTTAATGATGATCAGAGTTTTCTATCTGCTCCTATACTATGCATGCACACTGGAAGGATTTATGGCTGAAGGATTGAATCTTGTAAGTCTGACAGGGTGTGAGGTTTAAAAGGAAAAATCTGGATTATAAGGTTTTATCAGATTTGAAAACTTGGATGCAATACAAGTCTAAACCTGTGTTAATCCTGACGTTTCAGGGACACTAAGGTTTCTCACCAGATTAGTGCAGAATATTGGCATGTGGCTGAACTTAGGGCTGACGCCAATTTGTGCGTCAAACATGTTTTGTCTTTGACAGCTGGCAAAAACTTGCTCGGAGCAAGGTTTTAAATCTAAAAGTGAGATTTCTGGTTTTAATACTTGTTAAATGGTTTAAGTAATCTGAAAAAATTAAATTGTCAAAGACAGTGTATATCTCAAGAAAAGGATCTCCTTACGGGTTTATTTTATACACACAATGTTCTGTTAAACTCGACCCTTAGAATGACTGAGTTAAAATGCATGATATACAAGTATTAGTATTGGGTGTAGGAGTGAGATATAAAGAGATATATGATTAGGATGCATGTGAACTAATCAGAGTTAAATTCAGCTGTTGCTCCATCACTGCGTTCAAGCCACCTGAAACAAATTGATCGGTTTTAAAGCTTCGACTATAGATGGCGCTAGTAGTAAATACAAGTATTAAACGGATGGTCGGAGATAATAATAATAGAGTATTTGACTGCTCTGATGTATTAATAAACTTGTAATTCTACATTTGGATAAAACCACATCAAGAATAGAAATTAGGTTTGAATATTTGAAAAAGAACTAGAATTATTATTGTTGATATTTTTGCATCAAGTTTTTTAATCCATGAGTTTCACTTTTCATTCATTTTGATATCCATTTTTACTTTTTGGCAATTCATCCCTGCTCAGGCTCATTTTTCCCTTCTTTTTATTTCTATTCATTTCTTTTTCTATCTATTATTATCTATTCAATTCTATTCATCCTTTTTAGATGGGTTAAATCAATTCGTTCTGACATATCCCTTTATATCAATTATGATGAAGAAAGGTTTTTGTCCGGAGCTGAATGAATTTTATATCAGAGCATGTTTTTCTCCTGTTTATACTGTACCCTGAGCTATATAGAACCATAGTAAGGGTTCGATACTGGGGTATGATTCAAATCTTGCGTGTGCATTAAATAACTTGACCTCGTGTTAGAAACTTAAGTTTGTACATTATCTTTTATAGCTAATGGATCATGGTTATTGTAGGGCTAGTGTGCAGTTTTATCTTTAGTATATACCCTCCCCCCCTCCTCCTCCGTAGCTCTTTTATAGCTAATGGATCATGGTTATTGTAGGGCTAGTGTGAGTTTTATCTTTAGTATATACCCTCCCCCCCTCCTCCTCCTCCGTAGCTCTTTTATAGCTAATGGATCATGGTTATTGTAGGGCTAGTGTGCAGTTTTATCTTTAGTATATACCCTCCCCCCCCTCCTCCTCCTCCATAGCTCTTTTATAGCTGATGGATCATGGTTATTGTAGGGCTAGTGTGCAGTTTTTCGATATCATGTGTATATGGAGTATGCACTAGCTGGCTTGGATTAAATAGATTGCAAATGTAGAGCTGATGACTTGGAACGATGGCGGATACAGTTTAAATAATCCTGGTTTAGATCGCTGTAAAGATATACCTAGAGTAGGGTTCAGGATATCTGGATCCCGCATACATCCTACTAAACATCTCACAAAACACTAAACCTTCCATCATTACATCCTACATCTCAATCTTTAAACCGTGGATAACGCACGTAACGGGAGCTCTCCGGGTTGCCTTTGGAGTAGAGAGTAGGACGTTTACTCAGTGTGGGGCTAAGTATCAATATTGAAGTGATTTATTAACCTGTATTTATACACACTGGGGAGTTCGGACATATTTATCATGTTCGACCGTATTTGGAGTTTTGCAATATCATTCTCTTAATACAGAACTAGATTGAAAAGTTTTTAACTCCTTCTCAGGGTGCACGTCAAGATAGAAACATATCCATCTACATATTGGATACTAGCTCCAGGCTCTTTCATCCCAAGTTTTGAATGATAAGTCAGGGTTGTTAGTTATCAATTTATATGACTTGAATGAATGGTGAAAGATTTAAAACGTTCCATCTTACTATAGGATATGGTCTGCTCTAGGCATGGTTTGATCTTGGCATTTTTTGGTCTAGGTTTGGTTTGGTGTAGACTTGGTTTTTTCTGGACTTAGTTTGGTAAAGGTTTGTTTGATCTAGTCGTGGCTGGTTCCAGGCCTGGTTTGATCTAGGCCTGGTTTGATCTAGTCCTGGTTTGATCTAGTCCTGGTTTGAACTAGGCCTGGTTTGTTTTAGGCCTTGTTTGATCTAGGCCTGGTTTGATCTAGATAAGGTTTGATTTAGCCCTGGTTTTGATCTAGGCCTGGTTTTGATCTAGTACTATTTGATCTAGGTCTGGTTTTATCTAGCCCTGGTTTTATTTAGTTCTGGATCGATCTAGGCCTGTTTTTTTCTTGGCCTGGTTTGATCTAGGTCTAGTTTTATCTAGGCCTGGTTTGATCTATTCCTGGTTTGATCTAGGCCTAGTTTGGTCTAGGCCTGGTTTAATCTAAGCCTGGTTTGATCTAGGCCTTTTTTGTTTTAGGGTAAGTTTTGATCTAGGTAAGTTTTGATCTAGGCCTAACCAAGATCAAACAGTTTAATAAGTTCATGGTCCAGGGTTCAATCTTCAGCCAAATATTTAAAATTATTCCAGACAATGAATCCTTTAATTTTTGCCTCGCGAGAAAAATATATTTTGCGAACGATGCCTTTCATGGTGTTTTTTACTTAGATGTGGACTTTTTCCCTTTTTAATCAATTCCTTTTTTGGCCCAGATTGTTTCTTAGGTATTTCAAATATATATATTTTTTACGAGTAAGCAGTGGTTTACTAAACTTCAGATTCTTTAAAAGAGGTATTCTTTATTCTTCCTTTTGTTTGGTAAATTCATGTTTTTCCCTGGTAAATTATCTTTCTTGTCTGGTAAATAATCTTACTATCTGGTAAATTATCTTTCTTGTCTGGTAAATAATCTTACTATCTGGTAAATTATCTTTCTTGTATGGTAAATAATCTTCACTATCTGGTAAATAATCGTTACTATCTGGTAAATAATCTTTACTGCCTGGTAAATAATCTTTTCCATCTGGTAAATAATCGTTATTATTTGGTAAATAATCTTTTCTATCTGGTAAATAATCTTTACTATCTGGTAAATAATCTTTACTCTCTGAAAAAATGATCTTTTTATCTGGTAAATAATCTTTACTTTCTGGTAAATAATCTTTTCTTTCTGGTAAATAATCTTTTCTTTCTGGTTAATAATACTGTCTGATAAAATATCTTTCTTTGTCTGGTCAAAAATCTTAGCTGTATGAAAATATTATCTAACATTTTTTGGTTGTTTACAACTCATTCTTGCATGTTATTATTCTATCTATCTGTCAAGATATCCAGAGCTGAGCAGTATTATCTGATAAGTTTTTGAGGCAAGATGTAGGAAGGTTTTCAGGAGAGGATCTAAGCGTGCGTAATGCCCCACATCCTTCACTAGTTTTAACACCGTGAGATGCACGAATATTTTAAACCAAACCAAACCACCGTCAGACACAGACAAACTCTCAAAAAGATCAGTTTTACAGCCCCTGTTTGGGCCAGAAATTCCGTGAAATACTTTGTTTTGTCTCTGTAAAATATTAATATAGTTTTACCCTTGAAAAGATTTTTCTTTGCGCGTTAATGATAGATAGTTTATCCTTCTACTTTAAGATTTTTTTCTTTCATTCGTAATTTGATGAACATTGCTCAACATTTTACATGATTCTATTGAAGTTTTTAAGATTTTATTACAATTTTTATAATACCTTGAATTCAGAAAGAACTAAGTCCAATTTCTTTCTTAAATTTCAAATGCCTTATTAGTCGAGTTACTTAAAACACTACGAAATTTAAAATGTTGTTGCAGAAAATATATAAATAATGAAAGTCTAACAGTGTAATGCATTTTTAAAATGTAGTATTAAACTTGTGAAGTAAGCGTGTTTTTTTCTTTTAAATAATGTCCTCATTCTTTTTACTGACAGACAACAACTCCTGGACAATAACCTCAATACAAAAGTGAAGTTATTCCCACCGATAAAACATTCCCCTTTTTTGGGATGTCATCTTAATTTGTTGTAAAACATTGACATCTTTCCAAATTTTTATTCTAGGAAAAATCGTAAGTCACAATTGTCCTAGTTTTTCTCCTTCTAGTCTTAATTTACTAGGTTGTTGATGATTTAACCCTTTATCAGCTCTTTGATCCCTTGAACTAAATACATTCATGACTTAACACTTATGTTTAAACATGATGATGTAGAATTGAG